GTCCCCTCACCCCGCGAGTCTGCCAGTGGCGCTGCTGCCAGAGGGAAGGGTCATCCTCCAGCTCTTGGGGTTGTGGGGTGGGCTAGGATCCCACAGCAGGTAGTTGGGGGTGGGGAGGACTAGCAGCTGGGGTGCGCAGATGGAGCCAGGAGGAAGGTAAACAAACCTCTTTCCATCTGGCCTTGAATGCCATGTGGGTGGTGCCAGCGCCCTGGCCAGAGCCAGCCTTGTGGGCTCCCTCGTCCTGCTGAGCTCGAGTCACCCGGGAGGGAGCAGGCCGAGCGAGCTGGGGGCCTCTCAGTGCAGACAACCTTTCCCCCCTCTGAGGAGTAGCCGATTTTCCTATACGGAGGACTGACTTTATACGAGATTCTGGACCGGGAATGAGTCCCTTTCCTGCTGCAAGAATTTGGAAGACTTTCAGAGGAGGATGCCCAGGGATGGACAAGCTGGTGGAGTGGGCCGGAAGGAAGGGGGCGGGTGGGCCCAGGGACTAGCCCGGTCCACACAGAAGCTGAGACGGTACAGGGATGTGTAGGAGAGGTGTTACAGTCTCATAAGCCAGAGAGGGGACATGAGACATAGCCGCATTTACTGGAGTCTTATTGGCCACTGCGGGACTCATGTCTCTCAAAAGCCCCTGCAGCGCCGAGTGTAGGGAGAAGGGGGCTTATAAAAGTAAAAACCACATTGGGTTGAGGTGGCAGGAGCAGTGATGACTGAGGAGGAGTGGTGGCAGGGGAAGGAGGGGAGATTCCTGTGCATAAGCCTTACAGAAGCCAGACCAAGTAGGTTAATAATGTGTTTTTCTTTCCTTTTTCTTTATTTTTTCTTTTTTAACCTTGTTGGTTCTGAGGAACTAACAAGTTTTTTTCTTTTCTTTTTTTAAAGAGAGGTTTTTGCTATAGGGCGCATGCACTCGCCAGACAGACAGAGAGACAGAAAGCGAGAAATCACCCCCCAGTTTGGGAGTCCAGCGACATAGCCATTACGCTAACTACTGGTCCCTCTTTCTGTCTCTCTCTGGTCAAATTAAAATAAATGAATGAATAATAAAAAAAAAAATGGTGGTGCTCCTGCTTCAGGGCTTCAGATAGACTGCCATGTCATTCTCATGACCACCCCCAGTCATCCAGATCATCCACCCAGAAACCAGAGCTAGCGATTTCTCTTTTCTTTTCTTTCTTTCTTTTTTTTTATTTTAGAGAGAGTTTTTTTGCTATAGGGTGTGTGCGCTCACCAGAGACACATAAAGTGAGAAATCCCCCCCCCCACAGTGGAGATGGCCATACTGTGATCCCTTCTCCACTCTCCTCTTGGGATCTTGGGCACACATTCACACGCACGCAGCAGGAGTTTTCTTTCTTTCTTTCTTTTTTTTTTTTTAAATAATTACTTTATTTAGCTTTATTTATTTAAATTTGACCAGAAGGGACAAAGTGAGAGCGAAAGAAAGAGAGAGAGAGAGAGAGAGAGAGCGAGAGTGAAAGTGACAAAGCAAGCCACCAGGTCCGGGACTCGAACCCCGTTTGGCCATGTGGGAGTGTCCAGCGCCTTAACCACCACGCCAAGTTCTGGACACTGGGCCCAGGATTTGAACCGCTGTTGACTACATGGGAGTTCAGTGATGTAACCATTATGCCATCTGCTGGTCCCATGATTTCTCATTTCTTTCCAGAAATTTAAATGTATACATGAATGCATGTTGTTAAGTCAGTAATAGAGCTCAAGCCACAGACATGAAGAAAATATTTGCAAATAACTGATAAAGAATTTGTATTCAGAATATACAATTAATTTTTTTAGAGGTTTTTGCTATAGGGCGCGTGCGCTCGCCAGCCAGCCAGAGACATAGAGACAGAAAGCAAGAAATCACCCCCCAGGGGGGATGGCCACGCCGCAATCCCTTCTCCTCCATTCTCCTCTCGGGATCTTGGGCACGCACGCACACCCGGCGTGAGTTTTAAGCCACCGGGTCCGGGATGCGAACCGCTGTCGACTATATGGGAGTCCAGTGACATAGCCATTGCGCTAACTGCTGGTCCCCAGAATATACAAAGAATTCTTAAAACTCAATAATAAGAAAACATATGATCCAATTAAAAAATGGTCAAAAGGGCCCAGCCAGGCCAGTAGGACGGTGCAGGTGATACTGGAGCCAGATGGGAAGGCCCCGAGTTGGCATCCCGGGTCCACCTGGAGGTGCAGGTGTGTTTAAGGTCCTGGCTGACTGAAGGACTGGGACAGGTTGGGGAGTAGTAAGATACTGTTGGGGGTCTCTGTCTCTCACATGAAAAAGAAAAACAGATTAATTTCAAAATGGGCAAAAGGTCTGAATAGACACTCATCAAAGAATATATACAGATGGTGGGGCCAGCAAGTGGTGTGGTGGCTAAGGTGCTAGAACCCCACATGGCCAACCGAGGTTTGAGTCCTGAACCTGGCTGCTTGATTTCTCACTCTGCCTCTTTCTTTCTCTCTCTGGTGAGCATGCATGCCCAGTAGCAAATTAAAACAAAAATTAGAAAAGAAGTATATCTATAGATGACAAGTAAGCACATGGAAAGAGACTATCATTTTGCTAGAGAAATGCAAACATTAAAAAAAGGATATACCACTATATACTTATTAAAATGGCTAAATTCCAAAAAAAACTGGTAATACTAATTGCTGGTCAGGATGTGGAGGAATGTGGAGCCTCCTTGTTGGCTGGAAGGAATGCAAGATGATACAGTCGTTTGGAAGACAGTCTAGCCACTTCTTATAAAGCGTAACATAGACTTAGCATACAGCCTAGAAATTAGTTTTACAGAATTATTTTATTCAGCTTTATTTATTTATTTTCATCTGGCCAGAGAGGGACAGAGAGAGAAAGTGAGAAAGCAAGCCATTAGGTCCAGGACTCAGACCGCAGTTGGCCACTTGGGAGCCCAGTGCCTTTAACCACCACACCACCTGCTGGCCCCTAGCAATTTTACCCTTGGGGTTTTACCCACCTGATTTAAATGTTTATGTCCATATGAAAACCTATAAGTGAATGTGTTACTACCAAAAATCAGAAGTAAGCAAGACGTCCTTCCCGAGGCAGACGGACATAGTAAGCTGAAGTATGTCCATACCATGTTGTATGCACTGAATTGTGGATCCCCAAATTTTGCTGTTGAAGATGTAACTCTTAGTACCTCAGAATGTGACTGCACTTAGAAATAAATTTTTTTTTTTGAGAGGTTTTTGCTATAAGGTGTATGTTTTTGCCAGAAAAACAGAGAGAGACAGAGAGATAGAAAGCAAGAAATCACTCCCTGGAGGGATGGCCTCGCTGCAATCCCTTCTCCTCCATTCTCCTCTTGGGATCTTGGGCACATATGCACATGCGCCTGGCATGAGTTTAAGCCACTGGGTCTGGGGCTTGAACTGCGGCTGACTACATGGGAGTCCAGCGACATAGCCATTATGCCAATTGCTGGTCCCAGAATTAGAAATTTTTAAAAATTAAGTTAAAATGAAGCCATTAGCATGGGCCTTAATCCAGTGTGCCTGCTACCCTATGAGAACAGCTTACATTATACGGAGGGATAACATGTGAGATGGCAGCAAGAGTGCAGCCATCTGTAAGCCGAGGAGAGAGGCCTCAGAGGAGTCCCACCTGCTGGCACCTGGTCTTGGATTTCCAGCCTCCAGAACTGTAAGGAAATACATTTCTGTGGGTTAAGCCACCCAGTCTGTGGTATTGTGTTATGGCAGCCCTAGAGAGGTAATACAACTAAGCATTTATAAAGCGATGGTCAAAATGCTTTTTCTTTATCTACTGAAATTATTGTGCGGGTTCATCTTTTATTTGATTAATATGATTTATTATAGTAAATAATTTTCAAATGTTAACCCAACCCTACATTACTAGAATAAATTCTACTTGGTTGTGTGTGTAATCCTTTTTGTGTTGCTAGGTTTGGTTTGCTAGAATCTTGTTGAAAAATTTTACAACTATATTCATGAAAGGTATCAGTTAATAGTTCTCTTGTGATATTTGGCTTGAGTGTCAGAGTAACACCAGCTTCATAGAATAAATTGGGAAGTTGTAGTGAATTCTTATGCTAGAGAGAGAAAATGAGAAGTCACCTCCCAGGAGGGATGGCCATGCTGCAGTCCCTTCTCCTCCAGTCTCCTCTGGGGTTTTTGGGGATACCCACACACACCCGGCGTATTCTCAAGCCAGTGGGGCGGGGACTCACACCACGCAGTCAGGCATGTGGGATCTGGGCATCGTAACCTCCGTGCCACCTGCTAGCCCTTGACATCTATTTCGAGTGTAAGTTTTGCTTTTTCATACCAAAAAAAGGGTGTAGTCACTCTTGACAGTTTCTTGGTCTACACCTCCTTCCACTCCCAGTTCCTCA